TTCTTACATGTGGTGTTACTTGCACGGATTGTTACTTACATGTGGTGTTACTTGCATGGATTGTTACTAACATGGGTTGTCACTAACATGGATTGTTACTTACATGGGTTACTTTCATAGGCTGTTACTTACCTGGGATGTTACTGACATGGGATGTAAGTTATATGGGTTATTTACATGAGTTGTTACTTACATGGGTTACTTTCATAGATTGTTACTTACCTGGGATGTTACTGACATGGGATGTTAGTTATATGGGTTATTTACATGGGTTGTTACTAACATGGGTTGTTAGCTGCATGGGTTGTTACTAACATGGAATGTTACTAACATGGGATGTTAGTTGTATGGGTTGTTATTTTCACGGGTTGTTACTTGGGTTGCTATTTACATTGGTTGTTACATGGGTTGTTACTTACATGGGATGTTATTTACATGTGTTGTTAGTTACATGGGTTGTTATTAACGTGGGTTGTTAGTTGTATGGGTTGTTACTAACATCTCGCCTTCAACGACCACAACAATGTATCTACCGCATCTGCTAAGAAAATGATAGGATGGATAACGAGAATTTTGAAAACTAGGCACCCCAGTCTCATGATGATCCTCTTCAAATCGCTTGTTCTCTCTAGGCTGGAATACTGCTGTGCATTAACTGCCCCCTTCAAGGCAGGGGAAATTGCTGACCTGGAGAGTGTACAAAGAACTTTCACGGCACACCTAAGTACGATAAGGCACCTAAAGTACTGAGAACGGCTGAAGGCCCTTGATTTGTATTCCCCGAAACGTAGGTGAGAGAGATATATGATAATATACACTTGGAAAATCCTAGAGGGATTAGTAACAAACTTGCACACGAAAATCACTCCCTATGAAATCAAAAGACTCTGCACGAGATGTAACATTCCCCAATTGAAAAGCAGGGGCGCCACGAGGACACTGACAGACTACACAATAAGTGTCAGGGGCCCAAGACTGTTCAACTGCCTCCCAGCATACATAAGGGGAATTACCAATAGACCTCTGGCTGTCTTCAAGAAGGCACTGGACAGGCACCTAAAGTCACTATCTGATCAGCCGGGCTATGTTTCGTACGTCAGTTTGCATGTGGCCAGCAGTAACAGCCTGGTTGATTAGACCTTGATCCACCACGAGGCCTGGTCTCAGACCGAGCCGCGGGGGCGTTGACCCCCGAAACCCTCTCCAGGTATACTCCAGGTAACATAGGTAGTTACTTACATGGGTTGTTACATGGTTGTTACTTGCATGGGTTGTTACTTACCTGGGATTTTATTTACATGGGATGTTAGTTTTATGGGTCGTTACTAACATAGGTTGTTACTTGTATGGATTGTTATTTACATGGTTTGTTATTAACATGGGTTGTTACTTACGGGCTGTTATTAAGATGGGTTTTTGCATGGGTTGTCACTTACATGGGCTATTACTAACATGGGTTGTTACTTGCATGGGTTGCTACTTGCATGGGTTGTTACTTACATAGTTGTTATGCTTACTTGGGTTATTAGCATAAGTTGTTACTAACATCGGTTGTTACTTGCATGGGCTATTACATGAGTTATTACTAACATGGGTTGTTACTAACATGGATTGCTACTAACATGGGCTGTTACTAGCATGGGTTGTTACTAACATGGATTGTTACTACATGGGTTGTTGCTTGCATGGGTTGTTACCTGCACGGGCTGTTACTAGCATGGGTTGTTACTTGCATGAGTTACTAGCATGGGTTGTTACTTGCATGGATTGTTACTAGCGTTTGTTGTTACTTGCATGGGCTGTTACTATCATGGATTGTTACCAGCATGGGTTACTTGCATGGGTTGTTACTTCATGGGTTGTTACTAGCATGGTTTGTTACTAACATGGGTTGTTATTAAGATGAACTGTTACTAACATGGGTTGTTACTAGCATGGGTTGTTACTAGCATGGGTTGTTACTTGCATGAGTTGTTACTTGCATGGGTTGTTACTATCATGGATTGTTACCAGCATGGGTCACTCGCATGGGTTGTTACTAGCATGAGTTGTTACATGCATTGGTTGTTACTTGCATGGGTTGTTACTAGCATGGGTTGTTACTAGGATAGTTTTTTAATAGTATGGGTTGTTACTTGCATGGGTTGTTACTAGCATGGGCTGTTACTAGCATAGGTTGTTACTTGCATGGGTTGTTACTTGCATGGGTTGTTACTAGCATGGGTTGTTACTAGCCTGGGTTGTTACTTACATGGGTTGTTGCATGGGTTGTTACTTGCATGGGTTGCTATTAACATGGGTTGTTACTTGCATGAGTTGTTACTTCATGGGTTGTTACTTGCATGGGTTGTTACTAGCATGGGTTGTTACTTGCATGGGTTGTTACTAGCATGGGATGTAACTTGCATGGGTTGTTACTATCATGGGTTGTTACTTGCATGGGTATAAGCATAACCCCAGAAAGCTCTGGCAACAACTAAAACAGTTGGGGTATAGCCATAAGCCAGTAGATAGGTCTAACATAGTACTCACTATCGATAATGAGGTATGCCACGAAACATCTAAGGTGGCAAATTGCTTTAATTCCTACTACACATCTGTTGCATCAACACTAGTAAGTAAACTACCAGCTGCATCAAATACCTTTAACACAGACTCTGGTAAGTTTCAAACATACTATACCAATAAAGGGGTAACCCCAAACAGTTGTCAACTAGTAAGTGTATCTCATGACTTCATTCAAAAAGAACTAAGCAGGTTAAACCCAACTAAGAGCACAGGCCCTAACAACATCCCGTCTAAGTTCCTAAAAGATGGTGCTTCTGAAACTGTCAACCCTATGCTCACATAATAAATCTATCAATCACCACTAATACCGTACCGGAGGGGTTCAAGGAGGCCAGAGTTACTCCTATCTTCAAGAAAAATAATAGGTCTGATGTAAGCAACTATAGACCTGTTAGTATACTACGTATAATATCTAAAATTCTGGAGAGGGCGGTGTATTCTCAAGTAGTTAAGTACCTTAATGACAACAGCATTCTCCATAGCTATCAATCGGGCTTTAGAAGATCTACTCAACCGATACCTCCCTTATTAATCTGATGGATTACCTGAGAACTGAAATGTCAAAAGGGAACCTCATAGGTATGGTAACCTTAGACCTGCAAAAGGCCTTCGATACTGTCAACCACAATATATTATGTAATAAACTTCAAGCTATCGGTATAGGTTCTGTAGACTGGTTTAAGTCCTACCTTAGCAACAGGAGACAAATAGTCAAAATCAAACAAAACGGAATCAGAACCCCGCCGATAACATGTGGAGTTCCCAAGGTAGTATTCTGGGTCCCTTATTATTCTTATGTTATGTCAATGATATGCCTATCAGTGTCAAGTGCAAACTCCTACTGTATGCAGATGACAGTGCTCTGTTAGTGACAGGTAAAGACCCACAAGATATTGCTAATGTTTTAACACTGGAACTGGAGTCCTGCAGCAAATGGTTAGTAGACAACAAACTATCATTACACCTCGGGAAAACTGAAGTCATTCTCTTTGGAACGAAACATAAACTGAGAAGGGTAAATAATTTTAATGTTCAGTGTAATGGGGAGTCCATCACTTTGGTTTCATCAGTAAAATATCTGGGAATCCCCTTTGACTCATGCATGTCAGGAGAATTGATAGGGAACAGTGTAGTAAAGAAAGCGAATGCCAGACTGAAGTTCCTGTATAGACAAGCACAGTGTCTACCTACTGAGGCTCGCAGGACCCTATGTCTAGCCCTTATACAATGCCATATGGATTACGCTTGCTCTTCATGGTACTCTGCCTTGACAAAAAAAAAACTGAAAGATAGACTGCAAATCACCCAGAACAAAATCGTAAGATTCATCCTGGGGCTGGGACCCAAAAGAACATGTAGGCCAGGATGAATTACAGCAGTTGGATATGCTGAATGTTGAAGGGCATAGTAAAACAACTGAAGCTAAATCATGTTTATAAAATTGCTCACGAAAAAGTGTCCAGAATATCTTGCTGTCAATTTTGTCAAGGTTGGGAACCAAAGCAATCATAGTACTAGGGGAGAGAGCACAACTTTGTAGTACCCACAGTCAGTGACCAGGCGTCAAAACACCTTTTATTGTACCCGCAATAAAGGAATGGAACAGACTACCCGCACATGTCAAAGCCAGTCATAGCATGAACCAGTTCAAGAAGACTGCCAAAAAGTGTCTGATGAATGAAGCTACAGAAAGGGAGGGGAATGATTTTCTATTTTTTAGCTAAAATACGTGAAAATTTTACCTTATCCCTAGTAATGACCCTCGTATTGTAGATAGTCTTAATGACCCTCGTGTAGTAGATAGTCTTTTTAGTATGATAATAAGATGTTATCTTCATTGTAGAATAATAAGAAAATATTATAACCTTTATATTATAATAATAAGGTAAAAGGACCCCAATGGAAATAAGTCACTCTGTCTGACTTTTTTGGGTTATCCTAGGTTCTCTACACATATGCTGCTATGTATGATAATTCTATGTAACTATATTTGTGTATACCTGAATAAATTTACTTACTTACTTACTTACTTACTAGCATGTGTTCTTACTTGCATGGGGTGTTACTTGCGTTGGTTGTTACTATCATGTGTTGTTACTATCATGGGTTGTTACTAGCATGGGTTGTTACTAGCATTTGTTGTTACTTGCATGGGATGTTACTTGCATGGGTTGTTACTTGCATGGCTTCACCCGAATATTTCTTCATTTGTATATTTTGCACTGAACTTACCATAGGATCCTTATTTAACCTTTCTAAAACTTAACATAAAAAAAATCTTATCTGTTTAAGAATGTGCATAATTTTATTTATCTGTTCTTCTCTGGGGAGAGGATAATAGATGACTCTTCATGTGACCCGCTTGCATGCATGATAAGTGTTGCATCCTCATGGTGGTAAGGACCTGATGGTGAGTGTTTTGCCTCTTCCAGTTACGCCATTCTCGGGAAGACCCGAGTGCAACACCCTCACCTTCGAGTCATCACTCCTTACCTCCCTGTTCTCCTACCCTCTCAGGGATACACAGAGAACGCGTCCCAGCAAAGCCGAGAGCTTCAAGATACCAGTCCAGTAGCAGTCAACCCGCAGTCCCCACCGACAGCTTCGAAACATCAAGTTACATAAAGAAACCTGTTGCACGTATATCCAACGGCCCGCCTCTTCGGAGGGCACCAACATGCCCTCAGGATGACGCCTATTTCTACACAGAACCCGATTATCCCTCATACATACTACCAGATAAGATTGTTTGTCCTTCATCTGAGCCATTTCAGTTGTTTGACAAGTCGCCCAAGCCACATAATAATGACTCGCAGAACCTGAAAGAATTCCCTTCCAAAACTTTCCCGAAAGTCTCCTCGGGAAATCATGCAAAATTCAAGACGCTGGGCCACTACCCATCAAATCTTCGGCCTACCCCTGAGCACATTGTATGTTCATTTAATAGGAGAGCCTCACCCTCCTGTAGACTTAACGCAACTTCCGAAAACACACCTCCAACTATAACATTAACCAGTACCTCCAGCTCGATGTCTTCTCCCCCTCCTCTTCCCCTCCCTCGTGATTTTCCTCCTAGATCTCCTTTACGCTCGCCACTAGGTATGCCAGTATTGCCTCCAGACCCCAAAATAGACAAAATAGAGGAAGCTACAGTGGAAATCTCCATGCCAAGCGACAATGGCATCTTCAGGTTTTGCGAAGCAAAAACCCCGCCCATGGGGCCAGTAAACCATGGCCCTAAAGGGGGTTGACAAGAAGTTCAGAGTTAAACTAAAGCTAGCATTAGAAGATTGAAAGTAATTGTTTAAGCTGTTTGGATAATGTGAATCTGTATATTTAAACATGAGTTATTCCTCAATTATTCTCTGCAACATTTTCTGTTGAAATTTTTTTCTTTCATTTTCTGAAATTTATCTGAAAATTAAAGGGCAGGTAAAAGGTAAATTTTAAATATTTTTTAAAAAAACCAAAAAAATCTCCAGTTTTTTTTTTAAAAAATTTTTTTAAACGGTGAACTTTAGTAAGCGATAAGGATTCTTTTTTCCCAATTTTGGGGAAATAAAATTTTTGTAATTGGTTTTTAAAAAATAAATATCCCAAATTTACTCCAATAAACCCAAAACATGCCTCGGGGACCCCCGAAATGAACATTGTTGGAATTTTTTGTTTTTTTTTACTTTAAAGCGTATACCTTGTGGGTTGCGGTTGGGTTTTTGATAAAAACAACAAAAATTTTTGGGGGAAATTTTTTTAATTTCCGAAACTATAGTGCCTAATGATTTTTTAAATGTGTTGTTTTGGGGTCAAAATGTTTTTGCTTTTTTTAAGGGAACCAGCTGGGTTCCCACTCCCCTGCCAAAAGGCAGGGGGGGGGGGGGCCAGCGGGGGCAAGGGTGGGGGGAAAGGGTTTTAAAAGGGGTGGGGAGGCTGAAAAAAACCGGAAAAGAGGAAACTGGGGGGGTTAAAGGGGGCGGCCAAAAGGAATCAAAAAAGGGCCCCAAAATTCCCTAATGGAAGTGTGGGAAACGGGCCCCTTTATTGAAAGGGGGGGAACGTTTTTTAGGGGAAAAAAACCCCCGGGTAAAAGGGTGGTAAAATTAGTGAATTGTTCGCCCGGGGTTTTTGACAGATGCCGGCCAGGGTTTGTGGTCCAGGGGAAATCCCCGTGTTTTAAATTTTCCCCCCTCTTTCGGCCTCAAAATCAAAGGGAGTGACCTCTAATTGTTAAAAAAATTAGGAAACTTTAAATCGTTTTGTGAATTTTTAATTAATAGTGAAAATTAACATTGAGTTAAGAGAATGCGGGATGTGAAAAAAAAGATCCCCCTTTCCCCGGTTGAACGTGTGACTTCGTACCGAGGATAATGAAGTTTTATAACCCACGACTTCAAAACCCGGGACAAACCAAAGGGAAATACCCGTCCTCCCCGGAATAAGAACCGTGTCGGTGTAGCAGACATCAAAAAGGAAAAGGGGAAGGGAGGAAAAAAGGAATATCAATCACCCACATTTTTTAAGTAACCCTCTATTATAGCGACTAAACGGGGCCATTTTAGTATTTTGAAATTTAATAGGTTTTTAATTTGATCCATTTAACATCAAGTGACCACCAGAGAAATCGGGTAATTTTTTGGGATTATTTTCAAATTTTTTTTTCCTTGATGGATGTATCCATGTTTACCTCCCCCCCCGCCCTTCATTCAGCTAAACAAATTATAATCTATACAGCCCACAATTAATTATAGCGCCGTGTTTTGGGGGGTGCTACCCAATTTATATTTGGGCCTCGGATAGTTTTGGCCCAAGATTGGAGGGTCGGGGGCCAACCGTATTACCAGGGGTGGTTTAAGTTTTCTCAAAAGTCAAACACGGGGTAAACTACGAAAACCCAATAGGTTTCTCCCAAAAAATTTACTTGTATGTTTTAAATTTTGAAGTACATACAGATAACCCCACCCAAAAAAATTTTTTCCACATTTTCCCCCCGCTGGCCCTTTCCTAAACCCGGATGCAACAGAAAAAAAAAAATTTAAATAATTCCCTTAATAAAAAGTGACGATTGAAGGAAGTGGGTATGGGGAAACACAAATTTAATGGGTTCGTGTGGTGGAGGATAATTACCCCAATTAATTACCACCCATGGGTGGCTGGGATTTATACAAGAGTAAAGTGCAAAAAAACTCTCAAAAGGGGGTTTTCAAATTAAAGTTGTATAAGGGGTTAAAATTTTTAAATTTCCCTCCCCATGGCTGGGTCTGAGGAATTTTAGTGGGGCTGGCAACCCAAGGGATCCAAAAAGCAAAGAAAGCGCCCACAACAACCGGGAAAAGGGTCATTTAAAAAAAAATCATACAACAAGTGTAGGGGGTTTTAATGAACAAAAACGAAAAACCCCTGATGCTTTAAAGCTACACCTAGTGCCTTAGGAAATAGACTGATCAAATAGATTGGGGTTTAAAAAGCCCGTGAAAAAGAGCTGCTAAGAATTGTGCAGAGGAATGCAAAAAAGGGACGGCTGTTTGGATCAATATTATAAAGGCAGGAAAACCCTTTTGTGTCCTCAAAACAAAGGGCTTTTGGAGAAGGAAAAGGGTGTAAACAATGTTTTTGGTCAACCAAAAAAAGGGAAAATTCAGAGGCGTCAAAACCAAAACTCCCCAGAAATTATTTTAAAACCTTTGGTTTTTTAATCCGGGAAAAACACTGGAGGGATTTTGGGCAAAATTTTTAAAAGCGGGCCCGTACATGATAGGAGTGATTTTTGGGCAAGTGTTACCAAATTTAACCAATTTAAAGGGACAAGAAAGGGGGAATGCGCATATTCCATACAAGCTTTCCCCCAAATTGGGATGATTTCCTAAAGTGAGGCATTGACTTTTTTGGGGGTCATTTAAACGGTAACTTGGAGCAAAGTGGGCGGGCCCTAGTAGCAAAGGGGGCTAGTTTAAAAGACTCCAAACCAACCGCAACAGCAACCAGAAAATTTAGGATCAAATAGAAAAGACTCTTAAGACCTTGGGGTAAAAAATTATGATTTTAGGGCGAGGGTTTGGGGTTGAGTCCCTTTGTTTCAAATAAATTGAACCAAAAAAGACCTTAGGGGTTTTTTACTAACAGAAAACAAAAGGGGTTTTTATTTGGGCGGGAGGGGAAAAATTTAAGAGTGGGACGCAAGAGCAAAACCCCCCCCCCAAACTGCAACCAGCCAACCCCATTACCCCTAGGAAACCACGTCTACAGACCCCATGAAACCTTTTCAAGTTCCAAAAAGGGGAAACCTACCCTTTAATATCAATAATCCAAAAGTAAACCTCTAAACGGGGTTACTGGGAAACGAAAATTGAAAAGGGGACAGGGGCCTTTAAATAGGGGGTTTCTCCACACCCAAAAGCAAAAGGAGGAATTTACCACAAAAGTTTAGCCCAGTTGTTTAAGGGGTTCGGCAAAGAAAGGAGGGGATTGAAACTTCTGAAAGGGGTACCCATTTCTCTAAGAACTGTAAGCCTAAAAAATTTCAGGGGAATTTTAAAGTGGAAAGTTTGGAAGAGTTTTCCCTAGATTATAAAGGTGTCTGGGAAAAATAAAATTTAAAAGGGTTTTGCCGTGCAACTTGCACATTGTTATCATGTAAAAAGGGGGAAGCCCACCACATACCCAATGTGTAAGGGGGGATCTAATCGTAATGATGGTAAAAATATACTAAATAGGATAATAACCCGGCCACAACAAAAGCCAACGTAAAGATTGCAGCTAACTCGGTAAGGGAAGGGCCTAGTTTAGTACTTTCCCCTGGTTGGTGTGGTGATTAAGATAAAGGGGCAAAATCCAAAACGTAACAGCTTTTCCGGGGATCAGGGAAATCACAACGTCCCCCTTCATAAAACGAAAACTCCCTTTAAATGGGATAAAGGTACAAAGGGGAGACCCTTTCTATAACTCAAGCAACTGGCTTTTCCCCGAATAAAAGGCCCAGTCATAGACACTTTTTAAATGTAACGTCAGGCGGGGCAAGAGAGAAAACGTTTTAAATTTGCCGTAATTGTGGAAAAGGCTCCCAGAGAAAATATCTACAAAAGGGCGGGTAACGCTACTGAAAGGCTTTAAAGTAAGGAAAATTTTTGGCACCTTCGGTTAAAAAAATTTAAAAAAAAAAAAAATTAAAAAATTCTGGGGGCCCCAATAATATTTTTGATGGGTATTGACCATTTTTCCACCTTTGAAAAGGGTATCCCAAAGAAATGGGGAGCCCACCCTTCAAAAGGCCCGGGCAGGAGGTCAGTGATTTTTGGGGCGGGCTTCCCGTACTGATAATGAATGACTGGGAAGCCATAAAAAACAGTTAGGGTTTTGTCTTACCATAAAGTATCACCCCAGAAATAAATATCCCTTAAATAGGGGGAAAAAGAATTTTGAACCTGTGTATAAATTATGGGAATTGGACAGCAAGGGATCAATGAAAATGAAGAAAGTCCAGAGATTCCTTTCCCAAAAGAAAAATCCCAAAAGGGAAAATTTTTTAAATTTTGGGAAATCTGACAATACTGGGTGAGATTTCCCCGTGGAAGCTGAACCATCCAACCTCCCAACAATTCCCGGGAGGGCGAAAGGGGACAATTAAAGGCTCAGCTCCACGAATTGGGGCAAGACACCAAACTGTTTAAATGCTTCATAAAATTTAAAACATTATAAAAAAAATTCATAAGGGAGGTCCCCCACCCGCCCCCCAAAATTTTTCCCCCAAACCACCCACGGAGAGAAAGGATTCAAAAACCCCCTCCCCTGATTGTGTTTAAATTTTAATTTCCCGGGGTAATAAAAGTGAAACCAAATTTTAATGACTGTTTGCCAAGGCCGTCGTTTTCGAAAAACTGGGGGACAAATTAAAAACTTCAGGGAAAAATTATGGGCCCTTTTTGCGGACATAATTAAAACATTCCTGAAAATGGGTCCCGCAGGAGGGGTGACCGGGGTTTCAAATAGGTTCTTTGGCCCGAGGGAAACCTAGGACCCCCCCTTATTTCCCCCAAACTTTTTTGCTTTAGGAGGATTGTTTGGTGCTAAACCCCCAGTCCGTCCCCATCCAGGCAACGATTAAAAACACACCTTAAGCGACGGGGGGTCCACAGTGGATTAAAAGGGTAAACAATTTTTTGTTTTACAATTTTCCTGGGGTGACTTCCCACGAAGAGGAATTAAAAAGACCTATACCCGGGGTAAGGGTTCAAATAAAAAAAAGACAAAACCCCGGAGTTTAATGGGCCAAATATAGTAAGTGCTGGGAAATGACTTTGGGAAAACAAAAGGGAGACTTGTTACGTTAAAGTCCCAATACTACAGCATGCCCAATAAATTTAAACCCAAAAGAGTCTTACTTGCGGAAGTTTTTAAAATGCTTCGAA